GAGAACTTTAGCTATTTTTTGAGATAAAAATAAAAAATATTTGTTAGTAAAATTAAAAACTTTTATATGTAAGGAAATTCACATATTTACTAATTATAATTAGTAAAAAATTTAAGCATTGCATTATTTTTAATGGTCACTGTATATATTATTCATTTATAAAAATCATTTAAAAAAATAAAACTTTATTATTATTAATTATATATTATTTAAATATATAAAATATAATATAACTTATTTAAAAGATAATTTAAAAATTTTGCAAGTAAATAATTTTATTATAAAATATAAATCAGAAAAAGAAAATATTATAGCAAATACTTTATTTAAAAATTCTTTATGTATATTATATTATTGTTATTATTATATAGCTAATTAATAATATTAACTAATATAATAATATTAAAAAGATAATTATTTTAAAGAAATTTAGAAAGTACTATATAATAAAAAAAATATTATATTAAAATAATTATCTTATATTTATTATTTTAAATTAAAAAATAATTAAATCTATCTAAAAAATACTAATTGATTAATTATTTTAAAAGATAAAATAACAAGAACTTATATTTTAAAAGAATATTATAATATTAATATTACTAAATATTTTGATATTAATAAAATTTATAAATAAATTTAATAATACTTTTATTAATATAAACTTTTTAAAGATATATTCAAGTATATTACTAGTTATAAAGAGTACTAATATAATAAAAGTAATAATTAATTACTTTTAAAACTTCTATAATTATTGAGTATCTTTAAATAATATTGAAAATAAATTATTATAAATTTTATTATATATACTGTAATAACTATTAACTATTTATTAAGAATATAATACTATCTTTATTATTATTGATTATCTAACTAAATATATATATTTCTTATTAATATCTCAATATAAAAATTAATAATTACTTCTAATAAAAATCATTTAAATTTTAACCAATTTTTATAATTTTTTTATATTAAATAAAAAATAATCTAAATTAACTTCTGTATGAAGTTGCTAATCCTAAAAAATATGCTGATATTTCTACTGAAAATGATGCTAATCACCATATACTGAGTATTGAAGAAATCCTTGGCAACAAGAGGACAATATTGAAAATAGTGATGAAAATGGACTAGCACCTCCCAAAATATCAATTTCAGTCGCTCTTTCTTCTGTTAATAATATTTTTCTTTTTCTTCAGAAAGAAGATTCTTCCTTATCTACCCAAGATCGACTTGCTGTTCTTCAGAAGCTTACTCATGAACTCAATATAATGTATATTGCTAGAAAAATCCAGCAAACCCTCGATACCTATATAAAATCTATTTAGTTATCATACTTATATATAATTACTATAATAAATTTGACTTGATGTTTATTATGACATCTCATTATTATGACCAAAAACCTCCATACCGATGATGTCATATTAATGAGGGTGGACTGTAGACACTCCTGAAAGCCTTAAAAAATTCAGAACTTTTTTTTGAAGTTAATGGAATTGAAACTTTATATCTCGAAGCACAATTTACTATATTGAGAACTGCTATCCATTTTTACCTTTGTAATGATCATGAATGAGGAATAGGATATCGCACTGATGTACACACCCGGGACGTGATATTTTACCGTAACTAATTCGTGAAATATCTTTTGTAAATTTTTGCTATTTATTCTGGTTATGCAATCAGCATTGAATTTTTTATACGGAAAATTATATCTTTCTTTCTTGAGATTTTCGAGCATTGGAGTGACAGTCCGTTGTTTGATAGAATAATGATCTGCAAACTAGGGCCAATTCCTCATTAACGTCAATTATGATACTATGTTGACTCGTTTCTTATTCATTTATTATAGTGATTAATTATTATCTGGCAAAGGTTCCAGAAAAGTCGATATGTGTTATATGTTACTCAATGTCAACAGGCCAGTAGTATTGTTGCCGTAGCAACATAAAAATTCGTAATGTCAGAAATTTAGAATATCGTAAAAATCCGAAAATAAGCTACCTCTCATGTTTCATCCCAAAATTGGATGCAAAAGTATATGCAAACTGATCCCGAAAATAAGCTACCCCCTCTTTGACCCCTGAAAATCGTGCAAAAAGGGTAGCTTATTTTCGGATTTTTACGGTAATGATCTGGTACGCCTATCACTGTTGTTTAATGAAGGAATTGGTAAGATTCGCACAAATTCCTATGGAAATTCCCATTTCGTGGCATCAGTATAAATGCTGCTTCAAAAATCCATACGAAATTCTTGTGATATCAACATCAGCACTGCCTTCCTTAATAAATGATAGCACAAAATTCTTATCTCACGAACTCAAGAATGTGACTATTATTTCTTTGATCATAGAGATTTATAGAAACATTTATACCAGCATTCACCTTTATTGTTATACAATATAGTTAGATTTCGTTTTGCCTTTATATTTACATTTGATTCTTTGTATTGAAGCATTGCCAGTCCCTTTTTGTGAGAATTCTTAAATAATTCATAGTTTGTACTTTAGATCCGTGAAACTGGACATCAAGTTGATGTAGCTCTAAAAATTGTATTTAAAGAATAGTTATCTGAAGGTTTGAGAATTAAGCAATGGGCGGCTTGAACAAAAAATGTTAAATTTACTTTGAAAATTACCTAACTGCGCTTCAACTCTTATTTCCTTCGTGCCATATGAATAAAATAAATATTAAATTTACTTTGAAACTTACCTAACTGCGCTTCGGCTCTTAGTTCTTTCGTGCAATAATGAAATTAGTAGCTTTATTTCTTTTGTGCTTAATAAAATTGATGGCTTTACTTTTTGCCTTAAAAAGTAGTTGTGCTGTGTAGAATTTGTTTTGTGCAAATAGTTTGCTTTCCTTTGTTTTGTGTTGGTAGTGAGCAGAAATTACTCGTATTCCTTTGGAATCCCGTGAACAATTCTATCCCCAACTCCCCTTTTATTTTAAGCCCTCTTCTATTCTCTAAATAATAGCTTTCGTAAAAACTATCGCAGGAGACTTTAGAACAATTAGAGAACTTCTCTTTGTAAATCATTCAGTCCAAGCTCTCCCACATTTTGTTACGTCCTACACTCTTTAAATTCAACATCTTTAGAAAGGAGCGTAACAGTTTCTCACCTAATGAAGCAACCAAAAAATTTGATGTTAGTTTATCAGCAAATACAAAAATAGATTTTGTAAATTACAACAGGATCTAGAAAAAGGAATTTCGATTCGAAATGAAGATTGGATCCATTACGACAGGAAATTTCTAATCTTAAAAAACAGTTAGAAAAGGCATTTTAAGATTCTGAAAACCGAGAAAATTATATAGACTATTTAGAAAAGGGGTTAGTAAATTTTCAGGATGAAATCAACAAACTTAATAAAAAAATTCAGGTATTGAGTGTCATCTCCAACATCTAGGAACTTTAATGAGTTTCCCAGCTCATGTACATAGGCCAGTTGATCCGTGGTATCATTGCCAATAAGGGATTACTTTTCTAGAGTAGAATTTGGACTTGAACCCATTTATTCCAATTGCTTTACCACCAATAGACAACTCAAACATCGCTGATGCACGAATTTGTCTAGCAGGTGCATCATAACCTCTAGCCATTAGTAATAATGATGTATTCCATCCAACCTCTCCGCCCAGGCACCCTTTTAACATGATATGGTAAAATTGTTTCGGGTGCACCTGTATCAACTATACAGGAATACTTTTTGTTGTAATCCATATTATCATAAAAATCATATAATAGAATGAAGATACTGGTTTCTTTGGATCTTTTAACACAAACTGTAACCTTTATTTAAAAATAAATCAACCTAAGTATGCATTATTAAATCTACAAATCTACCTATTCAAACCTTATAGTCAATTCCATTATTAGTACGCTGAATCAGGAAATTTACCAACGTCAAGCGCGTTGTAAAAATATATAAGGTTAAACCCAATCTCATCATCGAATTCTAACTCTGCATCAGCAATTTGTTCGAAGGTATCTCCTTTGAAAAATTCTGGCATGGACAAGGGCCACCTGAAATTCTTTCCCACGCGAGCTACAAATAGGTTAAATAAGACAAACATCAAAACTTTACTACATATATTATGCTTTTCACGTATATAAAGAAAAATTTAATTGTACCGAGAAATCTTCGTGCCTGACCAGGCCTGTGCTCATATTTGAGGAAGTTTTGAAGTGTTTCGGGTAGATTTTGTTCCTTCATTATTTTAAATAAAACGAGAAATCTAACAAGGCATTACTCAATGTTAAAAAATATATATATATATATATGTATAGTTTTCACAAAATACGTATATTCATTTCATTTATTAAAGAATATACCTAGCAGATAGACGCGCCAATTATGCCTATTAAGCAACGAATGTAAGTAGAAATATAAGAGGAAAAAAGCAAATATAACACATTGTTTTTTAATAGTGATATGCCAATTATGAAAAGGAAAGCAACGAATGTATGCGGGCTATAGATTACGTGGACTCTATCACTATTGAAAAATCAATGCATTTTTCCTCTTATATTTATATTAGTACTGCGCCATGCGACAAAATTTTGTGTGTCATTTATCAGTGTCATTTATCGTAGTGTAGCTTATACTATAGATAGACTTAGACCACCGGAATCACCAGGTGGAGATCCAGAATCATAGAATTCAACGGAGATTAATAACATTAGGCTTTATTTCAAAAGCCAAATATAATAGCACCAGCAATAAATGATATTATAGTCCACATTAATGTAATTTCTGATGCTGGAAATCGTCTTGAACAGTTAGCATTAGCTCCGAACTAGCAAGACACTCAAATAGTTATAGGATTAAACAATCGCGTAAATATTGCTGAAGGGCAAAGTAACAAATTTGCAAACTCGATTAAATACACGCCAAATGATTATAATCTGCTTCGTCAAGCTTATGATGTTTGTTTCTGCTATTATCATTATATATTTCCAACAATAAGAATTTCATGAAAATAAACATCTCTTATATTTATCTATTATCTAAAATAAATTTTATTTATATATATTAACATTAACATAATTAATATTTTTTATTAGAATTATCTCCGCTATTATCACTAATATTTAAATCATCTAATTATGGATTTTTGCAATCAAACTAACTTATAATTGTATATTTAATTACTATCATTATATTCTTCAGAATGAAATGATAACTTATTTACAATGCGACTTTAATAATTATTTCAACGAAAAATATGATACATGCAAATTGGATAAACTTTATTTTAAGCCAATTTGCATCATTATGTATCGTTAAATGCAACACGTGTATACATTTTGTCTTTTATTACTGAAAGGAGAAAAAAAGCAAATTTCTTTTTACATAATATCAGATTTATTAATCAATATCATTATGAAAAATTCTTTATCAATTAATATTTGAACAATGTCCTAGTTACCACTTCATATTTTATACGATTTCGATAAATCGACATATCCAAATTGTCGAAGTCAAATTCTCGCTGCTCGCTTATATAATCAGCAAACAACATTGTATACACGCCACAGTCGTAACCGTTCGGCTGTTGCGGTATTTCACTAGGGAACAAGTTAACTTTCCATTCGTCCCGGTCTGACTGTTGTTTTTTTATGACTCGATATCCTTGTATGAACTCCAAGAGATTCTGAAATCACAGCAGATAAATCAGTTCAGTTCTTCGAGTTTTAATGAAGGATACGAATTAACTTACCGGTCCAATGGATTGAGTTCCACCGCTTCCAAATCGTGCACCGGAGTCGTACACACTAATTGTTTTTTCATTTAAATTGATCACAGCACATACCCAATGATTACCGAGATGCACAGGGACTAAGAGTTTGTCTTTTTCGAATAGATCTGGTACCTATATTTCACAATTACATGTATGAATTTATTATGTAAATGAAATATTGTTATAAAGCAAGCACATGGTGACCAAAATAATTACATTGTTGTTACTGAGAAATTTTTCCAGTTTTTTGAAGTTTCCGCTCTTCTTCGCTTTCTCAACCAGTGTATAAAAATACGTATTAGTCATAAACACATCTTGTTGATTTACATCCCCGGCAGAACGTCGTTCTAGCACACGAGCATTTAAAAGTCTCGCATACATGCTGATAATCTGTTTGGTAAAATACAAATTGGTGACTAATTCGCAATAAATAAAATATTAACAAAAAACTCACTTCTCCATTAATATATCGTTTTGGCTGTAAAGTATCTAAATCTTTCTCCTCGATGATTGTCGGACCCATTTGCGAAACAACCTTCTTTTCTTTTCTTGATTCGTCAATTATTTCGTTAATCCTTGATTCTTGGTCTTCGGTAAGGTCGCCAAAGAACCTCGATTTATATTCCACGTCAAGTAATAATTCATCTTCTGATTCTTCAGATGCTGAATCACGTGTGCTTGAGATATCGGATGCATTTTGATCTTCTTGTGGTATAGGTATCAATTCTTCTGATTGTTCGGGAAGCTGCAAGAATACCTAGTTAACTTTTATAATATTCAAAGGGTGACATAAAAATGATTTTAACCGTTTACCTTGTTATTTACTTCTATTAGTTCATTATTTAATACTTGATTTTCTTTGCTTTCAGTTAAACTTTCAAAAGGTGACGACGGTCCAGAGGGAGGATAGGGAATTGAAGAATTCTTTTTACAGGGTAACGAAGTTATCAAATTACCAAGATTAAACCCAAAGCGAGACCGTAAAGGAGAGAGACGAAGATGTCGTCGTTGTTGTTGCTCTTTAGGTGTAGGCGTATATGGAGTTTTTGATGGACTTGATTCTTGCGAAGAAGTGTAATAAAAGAAAATATTCTCATTTCTTTTTATGAAATCAGGAGTTGGCGTCGATGGTGGTTGTTGACCCTTACTAGGAGTGAATTGAACTGAAGGAGGATATGATAAAGAGGAGGATGATAGTTGTTGATTCTCTTGTGGAAATGAGGTACGAGGAAGGAAAGGAGTAGCAGTGTGGTTCGAAGGAATTTTTGTGTTGACTTTAAACTTTGGACGAAGCTCAAATTTAGGTGAAGAATATGATAATTTTCCATTTTTTTTCTTTGGCAATGATGGTGATATTGACGGGTTATACGAAGCCAAAGATGAGGAACTTTTTTCACTTGAGGTTTTCTTCACCGTTTCTGCTGGAATGGGCGGCGGAATAGAATCAAAATTAAAGGTGACACGTTTGCGCTTATTGGAACCATTCATTGAAGATGTTAAGGTCTTCGGTTTTTGTGTTTTCCATGATGATGCCTTTGGTTCGGCATGCTCTTTATCATTTGTTATTGATAATCTGTCAAATCCAAAAGCTAATTCTCGTTCGACTACACATATATTACAATCGTTTGCTTAATATTACATAATAAATTTGAATAGAGATATTAGCACTTTACCATCACCAAAAATTTTCGAACGCAAATTTTCCTCGTATGGCATTCCCATATTCTCCCATTCTGTAATCGCATTTTTCGCCATATGTTTTAGTGCTATTCGAAAAGGATAGTGTGTTAACATGACTTTCTAAAGCGACCATAATGCTATTATTCCGGATTTACCTGATTGTTTTTTAACTTGGATAGTTTCTGAGAATTTCTTGGGAAGTTCCGCAACTTGCTCTGCTATTTTCTTGTAATGCTAAAACAGAATTGATTTTATTCGGCACATTAATCACATTGTTAAAAATTACGAAACGGACAAACAACAGCAAACGTACTAATTGTTGGACAATAGGTAACGGCGCTCGCTTCTGTATAGCACCATGTTGGCTTACACGTCGTCGTATTCCCCCGGCACTAGTAATAATAGTAGTTAACGGTAGTCTTCGTGATTGAAAGTCATTATTATTTTTTTCTTGTGGTAGTACTTCTAGGTCATCAGGAAATTTTGGTAATCTGCTACGATGAATCATTATTATGATTATTAATTAATTACTTTGTGTTTATGTTTATCTTTTTAAAATATCCTTAGTTGGTTACGTTTTAAAAGGGAAAATAGTACAAGTAATGCATTAGAATTTGCTTTTGAGAATTTTTTTTAAAATATATGTATGATGATGTATAAATAAATGAGAAATGGTTTGATTGTTTTGTTGATGTAAAAAAAGGGAAAAATGATTAATATTGAATTTGTGCACCAATGTACATGTATAACGATTTTGATTGTTGATCAAATTTGGTGACAGTGGATGGTCAAACAATACTTTGGAATTCGTGAGTTCATTCAGTTTCTAGAATTCTCGAATTTCTTAAAATCAACCATAAATGCGTAACACGTGTTCGGAATTTTTTATGTCATTCGATTCACATACTAAATCGATTTATATTGATAATTTCATTTATCGTTAGCAGAATATGCAAGGAGCATGTACGTAGAAATATAAAATGAAGATTGAAATTTCATTTTGAATGAAACAATTCATGTTTTCAACGCACTCTTCAAATTTCATTAGAGAATAAATGTGATGAGATGACTCCAAACGAACAACAGCAGCAACAAAACGAAGAACAACCAGTAAATATCGAGCTCGATTATTTATCAACACCTCCTCAACCTAACGAATTACAACATGAACAACAATCACATGACCAGCATGAAGGACAACAAAGTAACAACCTCGTCGACACATTCGCAATAACAATCCCTCCGCCAACATACTTATCCAGAGATTGTATATTCAATGCGGACGCTGACACCCTCGAAACATCACCGCCAGCCTATCACACGTTATTCTCAATTTTTTATTATCCCATCACTGGAATAGTGGTTAACAATAATATTAACCCCAACAATCCACTTACATCTACTATGCAACACATGATTTGGTGTTATTGCTGTAGAAAACGAGTTCCAATTAGAGTCAAAAAAGACCATTTTTTGATACGATTTTTTGCTATATTTATGCTGGTTATATTTTTTGGACCATTTTTTTGGATACCATTACGACATTTTCACTCTACATCTATTTACTGCTCAAAGTGTCAACATTGGATTCGCCATTTCACGAAGGAAGATAAAATTGAACAACAGCGAATACAGAGGCAGATCAGGGAACAGCAACGACAAACGTTGCAACAAAGTCAGATAAGGCACAATAATTAATTGTAGACATTTAATTAGATTAAAGTTTGGGAGAAAGATATATTATCATCCCTAAATGCAATGAGAAACTTCCGATTGAGTAACATGTCCAGTATATTTTTGTTTCTCTATGAACGACAACTCGCATAAAACATTATACATGTATGTATGACATGTAAGATAAAACCTTTGAAACAACGTACATGTACATGTATCGGTATGTCAATATGTAGGTCGATATGTAGGTGGTTTTTTGATAAATATAGTAGAGATCAGCAAAAGTGAATAAACTTTTGTGTATATGCATAATATTCTATTTTTCTTGAGTTAAAAATTCCATTATTTATCTTGTTCAATTCAATTTTCTTATTATTTTCTTATTTAGATTCGATTTTTTTATTATTATTTTTTAGTTTTGTTATCAATATTAATATTAAAAGACATCTTATTATTTTATTATATTCTTAATTTTTAATTTTGTTTATTTATTTTATTAAATTTTCTTCCCAAAATTCCCGAATCCTTTATAAATTCCACTCTTCAGAGCTTGTATCAGACAAACTACAAATTTCTGTGAGCACCATTTCCGTGTCGGTTTTTTTTAATTCAAATTTCAAATTCAGTCATATGAATGCAAAATGCGCTTTTAAGGTCAGAATAAAAAAAGTTTTTTTTATTCAATGAATTAACCTTGACCTTATAAGTAAGAATGTTCAGAATGTTAATATAAATTTATTCTGAAATTTTTATGCGAATTAAAATAAAATAACAATGCCATTTAACACCAATTTTGGTGAGTTCTTGGATGTTCAGAATGTGAAATAGATCGAATTTATTGCTTTCTCTTTAATTGTTTGACATTAAAGAGGGGGGGGGGGGGAGAGACATCATTTATGTTAATAAAGCTGGGATATTATAGATACCGCATCTCTAAACCTCACTTGTCGGTTAGCAAGAGAGATTTTTTCATTTTACAATGGAAACTAAATTTTTTTTTAGCTTGGAGGTTGTTAAGATAACTGATAAATAAACTGCCATTAAAGTTTGATTGCACATGCAGGAGACGGTTATGTTTTTTCTATGTACGTTTTGTGCCATATTTGACTCTCGTTATATATGATGAGAATTGTATTATTGTTTTTCTTCATTTCTTTCAATTTATTTCTGCTTTTTTTGCTCATTGGTTGTATCTGTTTGGATGTTTTCATTTGGCAACTTTAGTGTTACAAGGGACAGCTTTAATTTCTTGAGCATAGATATCTTTGAATTATTCAATTCGAATTTCGTAGCAATTTAAAAGCTCCCATTTCATCATTTTATGTTGTACCATCAAATATTTTCTAAGAAATAAATGCCTTTAGAATAGTTTATTAATGAGTAAAAAAATCAATGCATCTACTATTTAATTTTGAATTTCATTACTAGTATAAATTACAAACATTAATATAATTGTACAAATTAAATAATCACAAAATTTCTATTTAATTTTTTCTAAAATAGCATCAAGCTTCTCTTCCAAACTAGTAAGTCGAGCACTCAATTCAGCAGGCGTGGCTGCTTGATCTTGTTTCGCCATTTTGTCCAGTTTATTTTCAATTTCTTTAAGCTTGCTTTCGGTTGTTTCTTCGTGTGATTTATCCCGGTTTTTTTCTTTAATCTTTTTCCGCAAATCTTTCAATTCATCTTTTGGAATTGCGTAATAAACATTTTTATGTTGTGCAAATGCGTCTGTATAATTGATTATTAGTTGAGCACGCATCTGAATTACTGCTCGTTTTTCCAAAGTAGATTCACCAACTGCATCTCTAAATAGATAATTGTACTTTGATTAGCTTGCGCAAATATTTGTTATAGAATAATAAGCGTAATAGTTACCCCATCAAACCAATCAATAAATTCTGCATAAGTGTTGCCAAAAAGATACTTGCAAGTACAGTGACCACATCTACTGGCCAAAAACTCCAATTAGTAACCTGATCCCAACGACCACTTATCCAAAAGTATACGGCTTCTATTGATTTGTCCCAATAATAGTAGTAATTGTCGGATCGAGAAGCCCAATTCAAATCTTGTGTCATAGTGAAATTAGGATAGGTTACGTTGTTTCCTAGCGTCTGATTCTCTACCACAAAAGAGCCGCTGTATGTGGCAGGCCCGGGTAAAATGTCAACCCCTGGAGCAAATCTCAAAAGTAATAACCTAAAGGTAAAAAAGTAAAGTGTCAGCACAGTATATGTATTTGAGCATTTGTAAAGGTTATGTAATGTGATATTTACATAGTGATTGCGAATCCGACAATAATAAACATCTGGGAAAGGAGAAATCCAAAGACATTTACAATAACATTGATGATAATGAAAATGTATTTTCCAACCACTAATAAAATTATCGTTAGTATCATCATTAGGACGTAATCTCCAAGGTAAATCATAATAATAATAATCAATTCTTACATGGCAAAAATCGCATTTGGAAAAACTAAAAAAAATAATTTCATGTAAATAAACTTAATCATCATCTGAAAATTGCAAGCCACTAGTTAAATTACTTACAAATACAACCCAAAGTAATAAAGCTGCTAGTGAATAAAAGATCAATTGACTTTTACACTGGAGAGAGTGTCTTTCGCAATAAGGGGACTCTTTTGGTGTATCAGAATCTACTAGTAGGCTAGCATAATGTATATGAACCGATAGCATCATTGCACAGCCAATTAGTGGTAAAGTCGAACCAGCAAGATCGAAAGTATATAAAATTATAGGCAACGGCTGCTGGTTAGCAAGATAACGTCCTCCCTTAATCTTTCCAGTCAACAATATGTAAGCAAATCCACACATTATAGCAGCAGCTGGTATAAATAAGGGACCAACGGGATGGCTATACACAATACTATTCAAATGTGCATAGCTTAGCCAAATGAATACGCAAGCATACGCAATATATAATAAGAATCCAATAATGACAAAAGCTCTGGCATAGTGACGCCATTGAAAGTCGACAACTGCTTCTATTGATGGATTGTCGTAAATTTCTCCTGTCTTATCATGAATTATGAGCTGAGTGAATGAGCTTTCATTATAATTATTTCGTTCGAGTAAGAATAAATTCAGGAAAAAGTTCCAAGTATTATCAACAATTGCATTCCAAACTCTTTTTTTCGTAGAGACAGAGCCATTCTTCATTATTCCTGGAAGTGGTACTTGATAATATTCCATGTTTGTCTTTTTATATCTACCTATATGGTTCTCTTTATCTTTGACTGATTTCTCATATTCTTGCTGACGATAAACATCAAAAAGATTAAATTCGGCATGGAAAGAATGAAGTTCCTTCAGATCATACTTTGGTTGATAATACTCCCACGATTTATCAAGAGGAATTTCTTTTGAGTGAAAAACTTCTTTGTCCATTAATTGAATGACATTTTCTAAAAAGAGAAAATAAGAGGTTCTATTAACTAGTAATTATATCTAGAAAAGATGCATGTATAGACTTACTTGGATATTTTGTAATTAATTCTGGCAAAGCTTGTACGACAGTTTCCATCCAATTCGAATTATCTTTAGCTAAAATAGAATAATAATCGAGAAGTTTCTCTACGATATCCTGTTGATCATTAATTATTGCAGTTAATAACGCACTAGAGTGCTCCTTATCAACCGGAGTTTTAGGTAAAATGAAAACTGAATTGATGGTAAATGACAGTCCTTTTGGTTTGACTTGAACACTTTGCCGAGGAATGTGTAAACGAGATTCTGGTTTTTCAAAGATACTTTCAATGTATTTTTTTTGAATATTCGCTTTAATCATCGTCGCCAAGATATGAAAACGAGCGTCGAATATTCTAAAACTAACGGGAGCTTTGGTTGCTTCTTCGACGATTTCGGACGCTACGTTTTTTATGGAACGGAATAACGCGTCATACACTTCCCATTCATTTGTTGCATCATTATCTTTTTTTTGGCCATGAGAGAAGTTCGTTAAATCTATGAATTTTCTTTGAGAATCCTGGTTCTTCCGATACGATTCTTGTTGGTGCATCATTGATTTTAATATAGTGCACATTCCCACTATAGATGTATCATGTGGCTTAAATTTAATATCATGCTCAAATTCAAGAATCTTTTCTTTATCTTTGCCATTACGCGATTTTAATTTTATTTTTACTGATTGATTTTTTTCGTCAAATTCACGGTCGGCTATAATTGGATCTTCGAAATATTTGGAAAAAGCTATTGGAATTGACCAAATGTTAACAAGAGAGTAATTTCCTTTTTCATCACTTTTATATATCCTCACGATCTTATCTCCTGTTATAATTATTGTATTTATATTCTCTTTTTCGCCGTAGAGTGTATATTCGTTCTCTTTAATTTTCTTCTCGCCAATATTGATTTCTTCTCCTTCGATTATAATTTTCTCTTTAATGATGCTGATTTTAACTGCCTTTCCTTTGATTTCTCTTTCCTCTTCATTGCCGTAGATTAGAATTGCTTTTTCATTGCCGTCTTCAAGTCTCCAACCTTTATTATTTTCATCATTTTTTGATTGTTTAGGATTATTCTCATCATTTTTTGCGTGCTCGTTATCTTGTTGATCAGGACTTTGATAAAAAAGCCTGATCAAGCACTTTTTCTTGTTTGTGTAGAAGACGCGATTCTCCTTCACTGAAAATTCAATGTCATCGATTTTCTCTTTGTCGTTTTCATACTCCAACTTGAAATACGTTTTTAAATAGTTTTTTTCTGGATGTTTATCGTCCAATAAAGGTGTTAATTTCATTTTATGATGTTTCACAATTTTTTCTAATTTTTCAGTTTCCCAACTCTCTTCAAATTTTAAAGTTCCAGGTATATTCCAAACCCAGACCTCTTTTATAAAGCTTTCTGTATTTTCTGATCCTATATCGATATCATTAGTTGTCGACATTGAGGAATCACGTGACTTTGTGGGTATATCTACTGGTGGTTTCTCAGAGACGATTAAAAGCTTTGTATGATTCGCGATAAATGCCATAAATTTGATTTTTGCAGATTTTTCAGGTAATGTACATGTCACTAATTCGATAGTGTTTGGCATAAAGTAAATAGTAAAAAAATTGAAGCCAAGTGATGCCGCTAAATATTGGTATTTGTTTTTATCAGTGGATACTGCAAATACAGGTGAAATTTTTTTGTTGTCGTATCCTTCTTTTTTATTGGATGCTTCATCATTAAATGACGCCGATGACTGCGAAGCTTCTTTATTTTCGGTTCCAGAATTTGCATTCTTCTGAATTTCTGCAGAGTTTTGTTCGTTGGAATCTTCTTGAAGCTCTTCATCGGGTCTCGTATTAATGTTGAATAGTCTATCGAGTTCACCCGTTAAAAGGTCATAACGTTCGATTTTCCTATGCTCGATCTTCTTGTGTCGACTAATAGAATATAAATGCTTATCCGTTATAAAATTGTTTAATGTGGATTCCACGTCGTCTTTCGTGTATTCCGATTTTTTTGCAAACTTGTTCAATGGAGGTGGATAAGTATGATCAGTATTTATCCTCGCTTTTCTTCTAACAACCCCAATATTAAAAAAAGCTTTTGTTGACCAGAAAAAATTGGTTATTCCCGTGTTGAAATGAAATTTACTGTCATATCGTATTATCCGAAAGTTGTTTCGTCTTAAAATGATAAGTTCTTCTTCATTTAAAAATTTGAGAATGCCATTCCCGATTCCTACGGGATGACTTGCTCGAACAGACTTTGTCTTGCGGTTATATGTAAGGAAAAATACAATTTTGATAAACAGCGGATAATCGATAGAATCGAATCGGTAATTTCCTAATTTGTTGTCCTGTTTAGATTCGTTACCGTTACTTGAAAAATCATAAAAGGAAAATGCGATCCAACAAATATCTTTATCATTATCTTTAGCGTCAAAGACCGCAACCGACCAATTACATGTACTCTTAACGTCTAGTTCAAAATGGCCAAGGTCATCATGTACTGCATCTTTTAATGAATCCGTTTCCGATAAATCCGTCCCCATGCTTGTTTCAATGCAATGATGTCCGATGTATATTTTTGAATCTATAGAATAATTTAGAAAAAAATAGTTAATAAATTAACAATTTAGAATCTCATAAAATCATATATCTAGCTACCTGTTTCTTTTTTCAGAGTAATAGCACATTTTCCATTTTGACTTGTTTCTATTTTGATAACCTCGCCTTCTACAGAGTCAAAATTGCGTTTTTCTACAAGATAATTTGATAAAAAAGTTAAAAACAATAATAATATTATTTAATATGGTAAAGATAATTAGATTGATTTTCTTACGATCATTAACGTATCCTTTTCGGGGTCCATAATAAGGTCTTCTGTGATCTTAATAGGAAAAATTACTATAAATATGTAGTTCTAAGAATGCTTTAAATAATTATCATTAATATGAAGAAATATCTACCAACTGGGTGAATGGACGTTTTCTCAACTACAGCTGGTTGAATGGTATCATCTGAAACCACTTCAATTGTAAATTCGTTTCGATCATTACCGGATTTTTTTTTAGAATTAGAAGCCATTTCTTATTAAATGAATAACATAAAATGGTGTTTTTTGGCTTAAATTTAAGTCAAAAGAATAAAGCAATGAAATACTTCTCTTTGCGCATTTATAAAAAATCAACGGTACATCATTTTTTTCTTGAAAAGATGGTATTGCCTTTGTTTTAATTATTGAAGGTGCATATACGTGTATATGTATATGTACGTACACAGACGAGTAAAATTCCTGTTATACATGTACAATGTCGTGATCTCTATCAAGAATAGCATTACAAATTCAATAAGATTAGTAGGTCTATGCATATAGTAAGGGTTTCAGTCAGTTAACGATAATGCAATAGAAATCTTTTGAAATGCCGAGATTTACACACAAGTCCATGTAATACCATGTAAACTTATTACATGTATATTTCGCTGACACCTCATTAAAATATGCAAATTGGCGTACACTGTTTATTAAGATCATGTCGTGTAATTTAGCAGACTTTTTTTACCTCTTCAAAAGATCTTATGGTGGTGAAGTTCTAGAATTTGCATGTCGCAGATTTAATTTAAAATATGTAAGTCACGCTGTCCGTGTCTAACGTTTCGAATTTTAGTCTGTTGCATAAAGAATTATTTTCGTAAAGTACTTTTTGAATTCTTTGATTCATGATTTATTGCGATCAAAGAAATTTATTGGTTTTTCTCGTTAATAATATTTTGTAAACATTCTCACTAGTCTTTGTTTAGTACTAATAATTTTTTTCTGTTTCAGCATGTGAATCGCAAAGTTAAATAAAATCAATCGTCGTCGCTTTACGATTGAATTCATTAATTGTTCCACATTTTGAAAAAAAATCCATATTCTCTATATTATGTTTTGTTCGACTTTTTCTGTGTGTTCTTTAAAGTGACAATTTTTGTGTAGCAAACAGCAGCTTCTTCCGAAATGTTCATAATACAGAGAACTCTCCCTAAATGCACCCTCTATAAATGCACTCTGTATTTCGATGACAAATATTACTTAATGTCTGGTTGAGTACCGCATATGATCATGTGAAAATCTTGTCAGCATTAATAATTCAGGTCATGTCACATGGCTAGTAACGGCTTGAATTTAATGCCCTATTGAAAAAATTTGGGCAACCTCTATACTAAATAAATACATGTATTGATGTTCGGCAAAATCGGAATTTGGTCCATTCCGCCATTTAAGAAATCAGATGTGGGTCTGGATGTTAATCTATACATATAATACAACTGAATGTCGTATTAACTATGCATAGATATTTATACATGTATAACATTCCAGACCATTCCAGAATGGTCCAAATTCCAAACACATATTACGTCGTCGTTGTGCAGGTACATGTATTTACATTTTGCCTTAATTAGTTTCGAGTTGTTTTGCCAATTACATGTATGATTTTCAACTACAAAGGCAAACCCCCCCCCCCGTTAAACCGAAGGCATTTGTATGACTATTTTTCTTCGGTTTAACGGGATCTTCGGAAATTTTTTAAATCGGAGATAATAATAAAAAAATAATTATAGCCGGATTAGCAGGTAAATTCAATACTCATGATTGTAGCAAAATGTTATTACGATTCTCAAGTGAATAGATACTGCGATGAATTGTCTAGCAGAGATAAAGATATCGATAATCTAATAAAAGAATGGAATAAAATTAAACAATTAAAATAGCAAGGGTATATTTAAAAACAACAAAAATCAGACTCAAGATCGGAATCAAAAAATTCTTTTGCGGAACTTGTCAACAATGATGAGAAGATAATAATTTGCAATGGTATCAACTGGCAAATAATATTTGAACCATAAACCCTATTGAATGTTTGGTCTATTCCTTCGGTTTATTCAAAGTACTTAAAAAATCCTGCCATATTTATTGAACTTGACGTCCATAATTGATGAAGTTAAAATAAAGATAAAATCTCAAAAAGAAAGTGGAATAAAGCACTACCTTTGAACAATTCATGAAGGTAGAACCGCATGCTACGTCTATACTAGAAATGAATAACTGCCCTGAAATTGATACTAAAGCAAAAACAAGAACTCGAGAGAGCAGCTTCATCAAAATATAAAACATGCTTCATTGGAAAAGTGATTATTGATATGGATCGTTTTTGAATATTAAATGTTCGTTTCCGTATTGTGGCAACAACGATCGAAGCGGACTTAATGACAGCGGTTCATTCTAACCTAAGATTAATATTCTGAAACAAGTCATACAATGTCAAAATAATGAAAACAAGGTAAAAGATTTATTAGCGTTACTATCTTGCAAAAGGAGGTTTTGGGTTGCTTATTTTATTAAATATTATGAAATAACTTAAAAATCCAAATATTCGCTAGGAAAAAAAGTGAATCTGAGAGAAATTTTGATTGGTCCAGACTTCAATACGTCATTTTCTTCGGATTATAAGTTAAAATATATTACTTTGGAAAATCTGTTTGAAATGTAATTTAATATAAACTTCGGTTTAACGGGCTATTTTAAATATATTTGATGGCATTTATTAAAAAATGTTCGGTTTAACTAGGTATTCGGTGTGGCGAGGTCCGGTTTAACTGGGTGCCTTTGTATATTTGGGGGAGCGCTAAAGCAAGACAAGTCGTTTAGTCGGTCAAGTCATGATCGACACCACATGATTGGTAGAACTGCCAATCAAAATTAATCACATAATACATGTAAATTGTCAAATTCCTCATTATGTTATTTCTCCTTTAACATTACTACCCATTCTTCTCTTAATACTACTTTCGCTATCTAGAACAATATAATTTTTATCTTTTATAAATTATAAGTATTTTAGATTTTCTTGCTTCATGTCCATTTTTTCTTGAAAAGATGGTACATGTATTGCCTTTGTTTCGAATTCCCATGTTGGATGTTATACAATGTCGTGATCTCTATTGAATTACAAATTTCAATAACATTAACCGTTACAAATTTCAATAAAATTAACAGATCTATGCATATTAATATAATAAAGTTAACGATAATGTGAAAAAAATCTTTTCATATGACGAGATTTACACAAGTAAAACCTGATGCATGTAAACTTATTCTACTCTGCTGACATCTCATAATTACGAATTTGGACATTAAGATTATCGTTATGTCGCCTATGAAAATGTAAGCAATTTCTCGGCAATATGTCATGAATTAATTCCGTATGCAATTGGGCGCACTTTCCATGCAAATACATGTACGTATGGAATTATCATACCGAATTTAAAGTTCCATATGATTTCCAAACACAAATAACGTTCATGTATAACTTATTATAAAAACGCAGGCGCATATCGATATCTTACACATTCTATCTCTTAAAAATTGCTTTACCCGTTCTATATAAATTACGTAAAATTTCGTGAAAATCATAAACATATTCTATATGCAACCTTTATTATTATTATTATGTAAAATCACAGACGCATTCTGGAATATGATACCTCTTTAGTGCCAAGTTTATTTAAAAAATAAAACAATGGCATGCAAACCAAAAATTTCAGCCAGCGATAAAGTTCCTTCCTACTAATTTTTGTAAATTTTGTTCGATAATTTTCTTTCTGGTTCAAATTTTTTTGATCAATAGAATTGTCTATACACTCGGTCATGGTAAATGCTCTAGATTTTTTTCAAATAACCTTTTCGTGGCAATATTTCCGTTCGATCATGACTTCCTCCTTCAGGAAAGATTCCTATACAATGTCCAGCATTCAACGTCTCAAAAACCGTCCAACAATTTTTCAATAATAAATTTGTATCACTTTGTTGGTACTCCTTTATATACAAGATAATGATCATGGCACCCGTTCTCCAAACGGTCACCTGTTATAATCTCATACATAACCATTCCAAAGCTATAAATATCCGTAGCGTTAGTGTGCTGCTTTTCATTTAGCACCCCTGGACTCATATTTGGAAGTATACCGTAAATTTCTTGTTTGGATTTAATATATCTGCTAGACCAATAAGTTCCAAGTCAGCAATGTGAGATGAATTAAAAAATAATATATTTCCAAGGTGAAAGCATGAATGTTTCTGAGATCATTGATTATTTGGTATAAATAATTTAAATTTTGTTTCCAATCCAATTCTTTGAAATTAATATATCTGTGAAGATCACCTTTTTCTGCATAAGTCATTACCATCGAAGTATTCATTTGAAATCATGTGTTTAGTTATTCCATAATAATTAATAACGAAAAAAACAAAAAAACAATCATTACCATTAGAGCATTTACGAATCTATATATTGAAAAATTTAAGTGTATCAAAAATCAAAAGCAACTTTCACTTTAGAAATTGTTCATTTTTACCTCGTCATAAACTCTAGAGTAATTTGCGTAATGATTTCAACACAACTTTTCTTTCTCCCTTTCGTTTAAAACTATTTTTTTTTAATGATCTCCCTCGTTTCCATTTATCCCCAATAATGGTCCATTCAACCAGGATGCTTTATAGAATCTCCATTTGCAAGATATCCAATGTTGATAAATCAAAAGGAATTCATTCGAACGTATTTTCATATTTATAATTAATTTATTAAACTTTTTTGTTAGATTGTCAATATCTTTATCTCCGCTAAACAATTCATTGTTATAAATTCGATTGGGATATTTGAAACAATAATAGCAGTACTCAACTTTTTTTGACAAAAGAAACATTTACTACAATCATGAGTATTATGAGCCAATCACAGTATCTATTCCTTTGACAATGCCAACATTTCATTATAATGATCTCTGAGTTAAATGCGTGAATTGGTTGAAATGATTGAGATAATCGTACATGCATACATGTACAGTATGTAACTTTATCGCTATTACATGTACATGATAACGATAAGGTATGCTGTTTTTATTTGTGGTAAAAACGACATGCATTAAAAAGAAATTTTAAAATGTGTTTGATGTATTACATGTACGAATAACCCTACTTTTGCTGAATAAAATGATCCATTTTTTATCGTAGGTTATTTTAAAGAGAAATTAATTAAAAGCCACCCCAAAATTCGTGATCTACATTACTGATCATTTCCCGATTCCAAACTTTTGTTACATTGTGGGAACAATGAATTTTAAATTATTTGGTGTAATTAACTTTGAACTATAACGATAAATGCTATTTGAAATTTAAACACTAAATATTAAAAATCAAAATTTGAAATTCTAATAAAATAATATCCTAAATTTTCACCAATACCGATTTTCGAGCACAAAGAATAGATCTTGCAGATTGACAGGTAACAACCGACATGTACATGTACATAAATCCAGCTGTGTTTTAAGTTCCCATTTCGGGACCAGTATTATCTATTGGTCAAAGATCTAATTCTTATAAATGATTAACTATTTACATGATTTTATTACGAAATGGTCCAAATTCCAACTTGGTCCAGAACATATGCAAATCATGATGCTGCCAAAATCTCCCGAATTTAGACGTTCGAGTCAAATCATTATTTTTTTTAATTAAAAAATTATTACATCTCAAGAACCGATAATATGCAAATACATAATAAATCAATAAATAATATATATAAGCAAAAATGATTATATTTTTATTTTTACAAACATATCATCTCAAAGTTAAAGCATCAATTTAAGTATCTATTTAGATTAATGATTCAAAGCCCTCCCGCAATCCGAACACTTCCGCGTTTTGAAATCTTCCATACAACAGGGAACCCATGCCAACGGCAAGAAAACACAACACAAAATAACTGTCCACATTACACCTGTATCATTCATACGGATGATAGGATCCGATACGTGTTTTCTACAATAATTACAATAATCAGTTCCAGAAGTGGGTGTTGAATCATAAACATGTATTACTGTTGGTCCAGATTGGTCCATTTGCTGTTGAACGTATTGCGATGGATTTAAAGGTGGTGGCGGACCAGGTGGAGGACCTAAATCTGCAGGTGGTGGTCCAGGTGGTGGTCCAGGCGGAGGACCTAAATTTGCAGGTGGTGGTCCAGGTGGTGGTCCAGGCGGAGGACCTAAATTTGCAAGTGGAGGTCCAGGTGGTGGTCCAGGCGGAGGACCTAAATTTGCAGGTGGTGGCCCAGGTGGTGGTCCAGGCGGAGGACCTAAATTTGCAGGTGGTGGTCCAGGTGGTGGTCCAGGCGGAGGACCTAAATT